ATAGTTAGGGTTGGAAAGGACCTTAAAATCATTAAGTTCCAACCCCCCTGCCATGGGAAGGGACACCTCGCTCTAAACCATATTACCCAAGGCCTCATCCAACCTGGCCTTGGACACTGCCAGGGATCGAGCATTCACAACCTCCTTGGGCAACCCATTCCAGTGCCTCACCACCCTAACAGGGAAGAATTTCCTCCTTATATCCAATCTAAACTTCCCAGACACAGCTACAGGCTGGGCACAGAAGAGATTCAGAGCAGCCCTGCGGAGAAGGACTTTGGGGTGCTGGTCGATGAGAAAATGAACATGAGCCAGCTTCAGTGTGCGCTTGCAGCCCAGAAAGCCAACCGTATCCTGGGCTGCATCAAAAGGAGTGTGACCAGCAGGTCGAAGGAGGTGATCCTGCCCCTTTATTCTGCTCTCGTGAGACCTCACTCGGAGTATTGTGTGCAGTTCTGGTGTCCTCAACATAAAAAGGACATGGATCTGTTGGAACGAGTCCAGAGGAGGGCCACGAGAATGATCAGGGGACTGGAGCACCTCCCATATGAAGATCAGCTGAGAAAGTTGGGGCTGTTCAGCCTGGAGAAGAGAAGGCTGCGTGGAGACCTAATAGCAGCCTTCCAGTGTCTGAAGGGGGCCTATAGGGATGCTGGGGATGGACTCTTCATTAGGGACTGTAGTGACAGGACAAGGGGTAATGGGTTAAAACTTAAAAAGGGGAAGTTTAGATTGGATATATGGTGGAAATTCTTTCCTGTTAGGGTGGTGAGGCACTGGAATAGGTTGTCCAGGGAGGTTGTGAATGCTTCATCCCTGTCAGTGTTCAAGGCCAGGTTGGACGAGGCCTTGGGTAATATGGTTTAGAGCAAGGTGTCCCTGCTCATGGCAGGGGGGTTGGAACTTGATGATCTTAAGGTCCTTTCCAACCCTAACTATTCTATGATTCTATGATTTACGAAAGCCAATACGTTTATGTGTTTATCACAAGAGGGTGTGTCTGGCTTCAGAGCCACAGGCAGTGCCCCCTCACGCAAAGGAAACACACAGAGTAAGTGATGAGAGGATAAGCGTACCTAGTGCTAGGTGTTATCTGGGAAACTTTCAAAGCAGAGGATCCTGCACAATATTCCATAGGAGAGTCTTTGGTTCTGACAATAGAATGGCATAAGTGTGATTTATCCTAGTGCCCGCTTTCTTCAGCAGGGGCTGCTAAGGCCACCTGCCCGTGAGATGTCGCCATCTACTTATTGACTCAGACCTTTCCCTGGAGCCTGTAGACGTTAACATCCAAACTAAGAGCTACACAACAAGTTACAGTGCTTGCAGCACACCTATCAGCCAAAAAATATCCTTGTTTTTCTCCTCAGCTTGCTCTAATTTCTACTCATTTTTAAGTCATGCATCAGGGAGGGATTTCATAGTGTTAGATTGCCCAGAACTCACAGATTTTCTAAGCCACTGACAATCTCGGTAATACCCACAAAGATGAACAAAATTAATCAGGTGGGGCATTTCACCATGCAGTTCTGATGGTTGAGATCCCAAGCATAGCTGTCTATGTACCATTTTCTCTACCCCAAAGGAGAACCTGAGTAATTTTTACCTTTTAAGCAGTGGTTAAATTTTTAGTTTGTTCTGCTAGATTCATGTATTTATTGCACTTTCTCTAACCACATCAGGGAGTGTAGAAGGTTTATTCTCATATTTAATGCAACATTCCTAACAAAAGCCATTGCACAGAAAGCAGATTCTGCCTTTGAAGAAACATGTTTCTGGTAATGCAGGGTTAAATTTAAGCAACAGGCTTTAAGTAGCTGCAAGGATAATGACCCAATTTGGAGCAGCCAGGACAGAAATAGATGTCTTAAGATAAAAAGGGCTTGGAAAGTAAACACGTAGTGTAGAATTCTACAGAGGAAGCCAGTAAAACTACCACTACTGTCAAAATGATACTACTTCTGCCCTTCTGTCAAAATGGGAGTTTAGCTTTTGTAAATAGAAATGGGTTTAAACATTAAATAGAGACTTGTATAAACTGGCAAGAATTCCAAGTTGATTAAAACAGGGTTAGGAAATGACAATCCTGTTCTAATCCTGATTCTGCTGCATTCACCATGTGATTAACCACACCAAATACCCACAGCTAAACCCCCTTGTTTTACAAGGATAACAGTGACTTTTTTAACAAATCCATATAATTCTCTGCACATTTAGTAGAGTGCATCTTGGAAAAATATAAAATACATTGTAAATGCTAAGTATTAACATGATTACTCCATCAGATCCGTTAACTGCTATAGCATGATAAATCATAAAACTGTTAAAATAGCTGCTGCTTCTCCCACACCTTCAGTTCCACAGTCATGTGGAACAGCTGAAATATGAAATACAGTAGAAATTCCATAGTTTTCCTCAGCTTAGAATTTCAATTTATGCCTTTAAAATAGAGTCAGGAGTTTAGATACAAGTAACCAATTCATTATTTAGAACACATCGTTAACTTCAGAACTGTTCTCTTTCCCCTAGGATACTAGGATACTGTTTTACAGATAACATCTACTTCTTGTGAGTATAAAACACACATTAGATGCTATTATCTGACAGGCAATACAGGTTTGTCTAGTGGAGTGATTGCTACAAGGTCGTTTACCAATGTTACTATATCTAATAGTTTCATTGTACCACTGTTTATAGTTTGGGTATATAGCTGGAGTTGTACTTAGCTTTGAAGCTAGCTGTTACCTTAAGAGCATAGAATGATAAGGTCATTATGTCCATCATTTGTAATACATTTGTCCCACTGAGATATGGGAAAACTTTTACGTTTCATGTTTCTCTTCACTTTGGATTGTATCTAGTCCCTTGCTTGCCAATACAACTATATATTTGCTCTAGAAACTTTTCTCCTGCTTGTGATCTCAATAGCAGCTATTTTCCTAATATTCTACAAATCCAGTAGTTACCGAAGCATAAATGTTTCCTAAGCATATTAACTTTTATTGACATTTTAGATCACTAAATGTAATTGATGCACTGCTGACCCTGTATAAAATGTAAATGCATGGTTTGTAAGTCTCACCTATGCTAGCAGGCAAAAATTGCAAACAAGTAGTAGAATAATTTCATCAAGTAGATGTGTTGGGTCCCCTCTCCCAACCCTCCAAACAGGGAGCTTGTTACCTTTCTTTACATAAAGCCAAATGACATTATAAAGCCCCACAGTCATTCCATGCTAACTGCTCAGTATCACTTATGAGCTGGCAAACATGTTAACTAGTGGTGCTTGAGACCCCAAATGGTATATGAAGCCAGCAACTAATAGCAGCCTATTGAGAAGCACCTCATCAGAGGTATAGCTGTGCAAGTCATTTTGGCATGAGATCTAGGGCTCACTGTGATCAAAACTTGTTGGAGCATCAGGTTGTTGAGGGTTTTTTTTTTTTGTTTTTTTGTTTTTTTTTTTGTGCATGTTGTTGCTGTTAATTATTTAAGAACATTCAATTTTACACAATTTAAAGTCATGTTACCTGCTAGTGGAACTTCATAAAAGCTCAGGTTTAACCCTTCCATGTATTCCAGTTGCTAAATGTTAAACTGTTGTGCCTTTTTTTTTTCTTGCTGACATACTTTTGCCTTCAATTAAATAGAATTTACAGGTGTATGAGTTTTAATTTATTACTGTGAAATCCAAGAGCAGTAACACTAACACCCAAGCTGTTTTGTAACGAATTCACATAGCTCTTTAATTACAACAACAGATTGAAGGTCAGTAACATACTGTTTCTAATCCTCCTTATACTATTTGGGACTTACCTCATCCAAATGATTTCATCTCGCTATTTCAGTCGTCTCTGAACAAATATGTTTGGCTTTTTTTCTTACCATTCTAACCGTAACCAGCGTTCCGTGAGTTCACATCTTTATTTGGCAAAAATCTGGCTAGTAGGTGTGAGAGGCTTTCAAATATAAGCATTCAGGTGTTCTCTTATGAAAACTTTCCAGTACTTTTATTTAGATTTTTATATTATTTAATATATATTTGAGTAGGTCAGGAGCCTCACAATAATATTCCTGGATTTATGCAACCAAGGGGTCCAATTATGAAAACGTGCATTCTTCATGCTCAGTATAAATTTATAGTCAAAATATGGTGGAAATTCACATTATAACTCCACTAGCAGCTTGTAAACTATACTTTCATTTTTCCTGTTTGTTTTTGGTTTTTGGCTTTTTTAATATCAGGTTAAATTGACTATACCTTTCAAGCTCTAAATAACCATGGTTAAAGTCATAATTGCAAGATACTGCTAAAACCAACAAGATAATGATACAAGTTTTATTTATAGTCCTAAGTTTAGAGAGTTGATTATTTTGCTTGAATATATCTGGTAGCTCTAGATCTTGCTCAGTATCATAACGGGTTTACTAAATCAACATGCAATACAACCTTGGACATAGTGTGACTCAAATTAATTTTAGCTTTTCCTCATTTAAGCAGTGCCTGGACAAGTCATTTTAAGTTCATATCCAATTGAAAGTCAGATATCCATTGAGATCAATTTATAATTAAACAGTGGTTCAGAATTCCCACTGCTTTTTTCTACACACTATGCATTTATTTAGCTGACAGCAGCCATCATTCAACCTACTGCACTAATATATAGTTAATTCAGTATTGAAATGCTACTTTCTTCTTCTATAGAAAAGCATTTTGGTAACAACATCAAATGAGTATTTAAAAGCTACATTTTGTAACATACATATTTTGTAACATACATATTTTGTATATACATATAGACATGATCAATAACAGTTCTAATTGTACAACTATTAATTAACCCCAAAAGTAGTTTACTATTTAGAAGTAGTTTATTGAAACTACTTAGAAATAACTAAACTTATTTGTTTTATATATGTACATATACAAACACTCGTTAACAACAGAGCTTCCCGAACGCAGTCATGTCCTGTTTAAGTTCCCTGTGTATCGTGGTAGTTGATCTACCGGGTGTTCTCCCCGCCACGGAGCTTTTACAGGCCAATTTCTTACTCCGTCCAGAGTAACGAGGAGCCGTGTCAGATACGGAGGCCCCTCCGCCGGCTGCCCAGCTGCCGCAGACCCCCAGCACCACCTTGTGACTATCATGCCTAATTGCTGCTTGCTTCCACAGCTTGCAGCCTCGCACGGGTAGAACAGCAGTCCTCTAACCGCACCGTAGAAGTTTTCTTATTGAAAGACAAGTATAATGAGAATCCAGTGACAGCTATTAAATATTTATGAAGCGCTATGGCTTCATTTTGAAAAAAGTTACTTTTCGAATTCATTTAGATTACTGCATTTTTCTTCAATAAGCTCTTGAAAAGGGTAACTATCTTTAATTTTATACAGATCAGCTTCATTCTGGACAATTATTTTAGCACTGGTATAGTGCATTTCTAATCAATTGGAGGCAAAAGTCAGCTTTGCAAGTGGCAGGTCGTTAGCTTTTTCACTATCAAAACCATTTAGCCTTCACCTGGAGCTTATTTCAGACCCACTAGAAAAGATCTTTACTTGCCCTAAAGTTATGGTAGTCTGTGTGTCCTGTGCAAGTGAGCCTAAAACACAAAGGAAATTCTTTTAATTGTTTTTTAAAAACTTCTACTATTAGCTTTATTTAGTGTTTCTTTGTGTGAAATGTGTTAATCCATAGACTTTTTCTTGTCTTACTAACATGAGGTTTAAAGGTAGTGGTGGTGTGACTGTGTTGGTTGTTAATTTGCTTTTTATCAATTTATTCTCTACAAGCTAGTTTTGAAAATGTTGTTTAGGGATTATATAGCTCATACTTAAGACAATGAAGAAGAGTAAAACCAAAAATCAAGTGTGGTAACTTTTAAGAGCTGTGTTTAGATGTATAAATGTTTCAATGTTCCAGGAGTGTGTTCTACTTTTAAGGCCTGCTATTATTTGAACATAGTATCATGAAATATTCCAAAAGGGTCTAAATTAAGCTTTAAGCATCATCCCATGTTATGTAGAAAAATGGTGATAACTTTTTTAATTTTCTTTGGTTTTGGTTAGTTTGTTGTGGTTTTTTTGGCTTAGTTGAAAAAAATGTATCCTAAATTAATGCTGGTCTCTGTGCTCATTAAAATGTGAGCTCAAGTATTTAATTAGGTGAAACTAATAGAATTGTAGAGTAGTTAGGGTTGGAAAGGACCTAGAGTTCCAATCCCCCTCTCTTGGGGCAGGGAGACTTCACACTAAACCATGTCACCCAAGGCTCTGTCCAACCTGGACTTGAACACTGCCAGGGGTGGAGCATTCACAACTTCCTTGGGCAACTCATTCCAGTGCCTCACCATCCTTACAGTAAAGAACTTCTTCCTTACATCCAATCTAAACTTACCCTGTTTAAGTTTTAACCCATTATTCCTTGTCCTATCACTACAGTCCTAATGGGTGTTTCCTTACTCATAAGAAAAATCTATGTGATGCTATTTGGGCTTAAGTGGTCCTGTTCTAATTGTAGACCTGTACAGCATGACATAAGTCTGCTTGAATCAGATAAAAGTGGGTGTTGTAAAAGTTAACTGCTAACTAATTCTGTTTTCAGCTGCCTGCTTGTCTTCTACTTTACAAGCATATCCTCAACCACAGCAACCAAATAGTTTCCTTCTGGGACTGGGCAGGCTGGAAATTACACAAGCTGTTGAAGTCTTGCTTATAAGCATGTATGTCTTGCAAGATTTCTGGAAAAAGTTTGTAAAAGAACCCAACAGCCTTTTTGTGACTTTGCCCCGCCAGTATAATTTTTCCCCTTATAGTTACTTTTGAAGGGTCCAATCACTTTGATATGTTTTTTTTTCTGTATTTGCCCTGGATGATAAAATATTCTGACATATTTTCAACTTCATTTGCTATATAATGATAGCAGTCAATAGCTTTACTGGCAGATGAACAATTTAGAGTCCAGTTTTAATTTTAAAATTCTAAAACCAATTTACTTTTATTTAATTGTTAAATATTTATGTTTTATCTGAAAGTAAGTAACTGTTTAATATTGGTTGTAATATCTTACAAAGCGCTTCAGGGAAGATGGCTTGTAATCATTCCTGACACTTTGTGTTAATGATTATAGTGTCTTTAGTAATACAGCGAATCCTTTTGCACAGACAAATTATGTATGAATGGCCTGAAATACATGATGCACAAAAATTTCCAACCATGAAACTTACTGTGTCATTTAGTGAAGCAGTGTATCAGCCTTTACAAAGTCTAACTTTAGCCAAACTTAGCCTAGATACTCTAACTTAAGCATTAGGCTTTTTAGCACAAGTCTACCACTTCAGAAGACGAACACTATGCCAATTGTGATGTCATCCAATTACATATATTTTCTCACCTAAGTCTTAACTTCGGCAACATTTACTAGAAAATGCCAGTGTGAATGAGGGCAAATTGCAGCAATGACACATAAATGCTTCTTTCAGTTAAAGTAGAAATGCAAGCAGTTCTGAGCACTGAAACATTCTTTTTCTAAAATATATAGGCTTCCTTCTAGGGATTAATTCAGGAAAGCAGCAAAACAGCTATATTCAGTATTCAGGACCAATTATTGGCAGAATGAGTCTGCCCCATTATAGAATGTTTTAAGGCATATCTACTTCTCCCAAACAGCTGGGATGTTATTTTCTGCTAGTGAGTTTAATATGAAGGGAAGCAGTAGTTCTACTTGGAAAGATCCTCATTACTGAAAAGTAAGGTGAAAGAAGTTAAAACATAAATGAATGCGATGAAAGTAAAAATTAAAAACAAACAAACAAACAAACAAACAAAAAAAACCCCAAAAGGCCAAAGTTAAAATTCAGTGGCTTACCTGGATTCTCCTCTATTCCTTATCATGATCATTTACTTTGTGTAACTGGGAATAGTGGTATCAGAGGTTGATTTCCATATTATTTCTTGAGTTTTCATTGCTTTTGAAATATTTGATGTTGCTGTTCTTGTATTTTTATTTTGGCTAGTACTGGGTTTATAAAATACTATTTATATATTTTGAAACTACTTGTTAAACTTTTTGATTATCTTAAACCTTAAAAGGTGGTAAGTTTGACCTATGACAGGTATCGCACTCTTACTCACGTGGTCCACATGAAGCAATAAAGTAGCTTTTTGGGTATAAGCAACTTAGTGAAAAGATTTGGGCTACTTGGTCTTTTCTTTTAGCAACAATTAATATATTCAGATATTATTCCTGTAAGATATACACATACGGAACTTGAAACAGAAATTAGCATAAACTTTCATGCATGTAGTCATTAAATAACCATTTATTCTTGAAAACAATGAAAGCAATTCAAAGCAATGAAAACAGCTAACTTCTGTTAGGCATTTTAAGTCTAATGTTCTTTATGTTAAGTGTGAACAGATTTTTTTTCACACTGATCATATCAAAGAATAGCAGTATTAAAGTTGCAATAAGCCTACATTTTTCCTGTGGTGTGCAAAATGTCTTTGTAATGTCTCAGGATCTGTTTTAAATTGCATGCTGATTTGAGCAGCTGGGATCTGGCTTTGGTTTAAATGATCCTATTTAGATGAATAATAGGACTTAGGAAATAGTTCTGAAAATAGCTTTTTAGAACACACCACTGACTAACCATAATGAACCACTGGATGTCACTGTCTTCAAGTTCGAAGCTCAATTTTTACTTTGATACTGTGAGAAATTAACATGGGCAGTTAGTAGTTTTGACTTCCCTGAATATGTTTAGCAATGGCTACAGGAAGACTTCAACTGGTAAAACAGCAAAGAACCATTTAAACTGCTTCTCCTGAAGTGCACAATATAGGGAACTTGGTTAGGAAACTGAAGTCTACATGGGGAATAGAAGGGACTGACCCCTACAGATGGGCTGACTCCTGCACCTTGCCTTTCTCTGTTTCTCATGAATTAAAAAAAATTAAAATACACATACCATTCAGTTTCAATCTCTCTGAAAATTTCTGTGTATTTTACCATAAACATTGTTTTGCATATCTTTTCCTGATGCCTACAGCCAAGATGTTTCACTTGTCCACAGAGTTGTTTTTCTCTTGGGTTTTTGGCTGGCTTTACATGCTGACAGTTACAAAGCAGTATTATCTGCATGAAATACAAAATTAATGAATCTTGGTTTCCTGTGTATTTACTTTATGATGGCTTATAAATTTTCTCTCTCATGTTTGGCATGTACTGTTGTACAGTTCTAGAGCTGGTTTTCCCCAGCAATGACAGGTGCTTTTTCTTCCAAATTGCTGCTTGTTTTCCTGGAACTTGCAGACTTGGTTTTCTTACTGGTCTGCCAGCTGAGGTTAAGAGTCAGTAGATGAGGCATGGGAAGTAAAGATGCTAGTGCTTCCCTGGGTAGTACCCTGTGTTTTTTTTGTGAGGAGTGATATGTAAGTATTCTGTGCTAGCTAAATAATATTTTGTTCAGTGCAGGATAACTGCAAATAATTACCTGCTGTGAAGGTAAAGCTTTTATATGAAATCAAACTGTCTTATCAGTTGAAAAGATTTGTTTACAGTGGAGATTCTGACATGCTAATATACTTGCTCACTCCTTTGAAGAGCAAGCAGATGTGGAAGAGTTTTACTAAACAGATTATTGTATGAGTAGATTTCTCAATAGATCAGACCCTCTGAGTTAAATTTGTTGAGCTGTATAGAAATGCAGGTTATCTAGGCTGCTGCAAAGATAAGCACTTCACTCTTGCCTATTAAGGCAGAAACCTGTAAAGCCAAGACCTTAACTTAATCATGTTCTTGCAGAATATGTGAAAACTGCTTATTCATTAACAGATACTCCTCTAGGTAAGCTACTTGCTAAGTTCCATTCCAGATTTCCTGTGCCTAGACAGTCAAATAGGGTATAGCTTATTGTAAACTAGTCTGGCACTGCTAGGTTAGCTTGATTGTGTTTCAGCTGATAAATACAACACATTAGCCAGTGAGGAGCTTTTCCTTCTCTTCTGGAAGTAGATGAACATTAGACACCTAGTAAAGGGTGCTTGTCTATGTCCAGCACACTGGAACCAGCATGATTTGAAATACTGCTCTTGCTCCATCCAGAAGTTTATTATTAGACAGATTCTGCAGAGGTAGGAATGACTACTACAAATATTGTCAAAGCAAGGCATGAACAATCCTTCATCAGTTTTCCTCCAACATCTAGGATGACAGTAGGCTCCTTTAGGATGACTTATCCTGTTAAGTGTAGTATTATATTGTCTTGGGACATTTATCTCATGGAAGCTGATGTGTTTTTTCTTTATTATATTTTCCTGCCAGTATGATTACCCCTACAGTGAGTATTGAAGGATATGGTAGTTTACTTGCTGTAAATGTACCTTTCTTTATTCCTTTCACTAAATAATTCATACTTGCAGTACCCCATGCGGCTGGCTGCACCTTTCACCTTACTGAGTGCAGCTTCCTCTAAGGTGTCAAGTTTTATTTTCTGGAGTGAAATTCAATAGCTTGTGTTTGTTTAGAACTCTGGATAGCTCTTCACATGGATAAGAAGCAAACTACATTGCTTAATATAAGACTGACATGCTCTAAAAATACTGTCATTTTAATTGTTCCCATATACCCAGGATAGTAATTCTTGCCAGAGAAGACTAGTGGATTGACTGTGCTGCTTTACCCAAGTATTACTTTCATAACATCTTCTCCTTCACATTGGTTTCCATGAAACATTTTTTAATAAAAGACTCTGGATATTACCAGTTAAATTACAGAAAATTTTTAGATTAGAAATATCAGTTACCTTCAGCTTTCTATCAGCCTCTTACCTCTCAGCACAAATAGCATTCCTATCAATAGCTGGTAATTTTAAAAATTGTCATCTACTTTGTTAGTTATGAATTAATTCAGTCTGCTAAGTCTTTGCACATAATGAATATTTGACTCTTGCTTATTCTCTATTTATAAGTCTCTTGAGTCTTTAAATTGCATGTTGACAGAGAAGATTCCTATAAGCTTAAATCTGGTGGAAACCTGTTATTCATCCATAAAGCATTATATGTATATGCACTGTTCACAGTTTAGATGGATAATCAGACAGTAACTTGATGTGCCACTGACTTGTGACAAAATATGACCTTCACAGGCTAACAAGATCTTTAGGAACTGTCTTTGGAATAGCAAGTGTACAAAAAAGAGGAGAATGAAAGGAGTGAAAGAAGTACCTATTTCATAAACCAAACAATTACTACTTTTGTTATCTTACAGCTAGTATTGCATAACAAAGTTTGCTTCCAAGGGAAGCAGGCACTTCTCTTGCCCTGAGATCTGTTCAACAATGTAAAGTGTTACTGTTTTCCTTTAGTTGCATGAATTTAAAGGCAAAGTTATTGATTAAAGATGTAAAGCTTTAACCTTTACAGTCCTCAAGCTGAGTCTTTAGTATCGATCTCTTGTTCATTCAAGCTCTAACAAACTTTTTAGAGGCTTGCTCAATCCTGAAATATTGTTCTCTGAAGCCAGGTAGCCTTGTATTGAAAGTTACATGGGAACAGGTTATAATCTAGAATCTGCAGTAGGACTGTTCCCTAAAGCCACTATTCTGCAGAAAGGACTTGTTACTTCTAAATGATCTCCTGATTTTATTGGTATTTAAGTGTTCTAGAAAGTACATTTAGAAAAGACATATTTGCAGCATGTATGTACAATGAGCTACTAGAATTTTATTTTTCAGTTGGAAGGGCCTTTTGCAAAGTGCTGCATTTTTGGCTTAAGTCTATTGCTTCTCTAGAGTTCAGTGGTATCAAATGCAATGTTGTGCACCAACTTTAAAAGTGAAAACTAATCAAAGCCAGATGTAAAAGTCATAATCAGTTGTCAGGTTGAGATAGAGATGGTTCATTTGGCTGTTTGTACTACCTGATCTGGAAGCTGCTCATTGAAAAGCTCCCATCACTTTGGGGTTGGGGATGGAGGGAAAGAGGGAAGTATCCAAGTCATGTAACTGATTAGGGCAATGCTGTGGTTTAAGCCTAGCCAGTAACTCAGAACCATGCAGCTACTCGCTCTCTTCCCCCCTTCTTCCCCTCCTGCTCCTGGAGGGATGGGGAGGAGAACCGAAGTGTATCAGCATTGTTCTCAGGCTAAAGTTGAAAACACAACACTGCACCAGCTACTAAAGAGAAAAATGACTGCTACAGTTGAACCCAGGACAGGCAGACGTTCATTATCTAGTGCCTTCTGTTGAGGTTGTTCATTTTACACACTTAACAGTCTTGAACATTAAGATTTTAACCTAACTCTTGAGAGGCATAGAGTCTTTATAGTTGACAACATTTATTTACTTAAACAGTTTTCTAGCAAAACAATGTGACTTTCGGTTATTGCAATCTGTTATATTGTTATATGCTGTTTACTGTTTCTCTCACGTTGACTACAAGGTTTTAAAAATCTGTATTTGAGCACAAAATGTCTTTTGAAACCTCATGCGTTTTATATCTGAATCTCTGCCCTGGCTTCCAATTTACTATTAATACTATACTTATGCTCAGTGGCAGCAAGAAATTTGAGCCTGAAGAAATGGCACATTTCTT